TAATCAAATTTTCCCTTAAAAGASGATACAATTAGTGACCCAGGAAAAAGAGTGCTTTATCAGAATGTGCCCAAGCCATGAATAAATATGAGAAAACAATAAAAGGGAGACTGCAGACCAGATTCTGATCAAAACATAAATGTAGACCCTGCAAAAAAATAAATAATTAAATATACAAAAAACAATGAGCTTGAGACAATAACTGCATTTTGGTTGTCACAGATTCTGCATTTGAAGCAGAGAAATACTTCATATCTGTATGTGCAAAATCGAGGTTGAGCTTTATAATCATGTTATGTCCTTCCCTCATCAAACACACAGAGTGTTGCTTTGACATGCATGTTTGAGAAATCCTTTAATCTCCTGTGGTAGCCATGTGGAGCTATGTGCTTGCTGGTACAAAGCCCCGCCTATTTACACAAAGCACCTCCCTGGAACTCAAGTCCCCAGCCGAGCGCCACCATGGAGCTCGGTCTGCAGCAAAGCTCACCCCTCCCCTGAAGCATTGTTGTGAAGACGTGCTGAAGTGGGAGTGTCGGTAATGGTAGGAGGTTCTTAAAGAGACACAGGTCAATAGGCTGTGAKGCAAAGTCRAATAAATTTTTACATATACAGCMTTTTCTTAACTGAAGRTAACCCGGTTTCATGATTGTGTTACAGAACTGAACTGTGTTMYTGGAAAAYACACAAGACCCCCTCTTTAATTCCTCTGTGCTGTGACTGTTTTTCCACTCATCCTTCAGTGCAGCTCCAATTCTCCCCTTTTTTATTAAAGACATTCAAATTTAGTTGATTCATTTCTTTGCTTTGAACCCTCCTATTTCATCTCTATTMCCTGGTGATTTTAGATTACAACTCGGGTCAAACGCTCTTGGGAGAACCACCAGAAACAGAGGGCACATGCAGCTCATCCATCACTCCTCACCCCACCACCACCGCTTCATTCATTCTGCTTTCCCTTCATTCATGCTTTTATCCTCCTCCCGCCCACCTTTTTTGCCACCTTCATTTTTCACACCACCTCAGCCGGTGCACMTGCAGAGACAAATATTTACCGCCAGCGAGAAATTCCACTATGACCACATGCTGCTGCCTGGCAGACGGRCTGCATCGTTAAAACCAACAAGGCGGCATCAGCGCGCAAACGCAAGGTGATTCTCAGGTAAATATTTGCAGTTATTATTTGCTCAATATCATTGGTCCTTGGCAGTTGTTGCATTTCAGCAACCTTTTATTATCTGGTCCATTTTTATTAAAGTATTTGCTTGTGTGTGCTAAATCATTTAGGGCTGAAACGATTCCTCGAATAATTCAACTAAACCAGTTACTAAAAGTCCTCGAGGCAAATTATCTGCATCAAAGTTTCGTAAAAATGGATACTGTTAAAGTTTTCAACGCACTTTGTCCGGCCRGACTGTTATTTGTGTTGCACAATGCTAGCGCTTCTGCTAATGGCTACATTAGCGTGAATGCTAAGTACTCACATGGAGATTTTTATAAAATACCCAGGAAGAGATTCATGGAATTATCTTGCTACTAATAAAAGTTATTATAATAACCTCTAAATGTGTTCAAAAAGAGGATTAAGTCAGAGTTATTAGGAAAATATGATGCTATTTGAAGTTTTTAGTGGAAATAAGATATGAAGGATACCTGATGTTGTTTTGGTTTTTATGTTTTGTAAGTTTGGAGATCTTTCAAGCTCGAGTTTGTTTGTTGAAGTTTTTCTTCTTTTTTTTTAATAACAAGCAGATATTTTCCACTCTGCACCCTTTTCATTCAGGGCATGGTTTACTTTGTTTTATTTTACTTTATATATATGATTTTTGTTTTAATGAATGAATTAGATATAAAA